ACTCAAACCCAAACCCAACTTCAAAGTCAAACCCAAACCCAAATTTAATCCAATTACAATTAAATTTAACCCAATACTATCCAACCCAACCCAACTCCTAACCCAACCCATTCCCCTACCCTACATTTAACCCTAACCCTAATTTATTTTAATTCTCATCACTCAATCTCTTTAACTGCAGCTTCACACATCTCTCACGTCCATCTTACCTTCAGTTTCCCTGTTGTTGCTGCTGCTACCACCGGAGCCATCTGCTGTTGCTGCCGGACCATCTACTGCTGCCACCACCGGACCCATCTGCTGCTGCTGCTGTTTAGCCAAAGCCATCTGCTTTGCTGCTGCTGCCGGTTGCCACCACCGGACCCATCTGCTGCTGCTGTTGCTGCTGCCGCCGCTGAACAGCCAAAGCCATCTGCTTTGCTGCTGTTGCTGGAGCCATTTGCTACTGCTGCTACTAGACCCATCTGCTGCTGCTGCTATCGCCACCAAGGCCTGCTACTGTTGCTGCTGTTGCTGCTACCGCCACCAGGGCCTGCTACTGCTGCTGCTACAGCCACCAGGGCCTGCTACTGCTTCTACTGTTGCTGCTACCGCCACCGGAGCCTGCTGCTACCGCCACCGGAGCCTGCTGCTGCTGCTGCTGCTACCGCCACCGGAGCCTACTGCTGCCGCCACCGAACAGCCTAAGCCATCTGCTTTGCTACTGTTTCTGGAGCTATTTGATGTTAATTGGTGGGGAATGGGGATCCCCGCGGGGATCCCCATTCCCCGTGGGAAACGAGAACGGGGGGCAAAATCTGCCCCCCGTCAAAAATCCCCGCGGGGATCCCCATCCTCGTGATTCACGGGACGGGGATGGGGAAAGGGTCTCCGGCCCCGCGGAGCCCCGTTGACATCCCTAACCATTGAGTATTGACAGCCCACAAATATGATATAAATCTAATCTACCCCAACAACCAAATTTTAATTGATAAAACACATGTTTATATCACGCATCTCTCTCTCAATGGTGAAAAAAGATGTTAAAGGAAATCTTAAATAACCTTCTTTTTTTTTTTTTTTTTGATATTTGGATTTATAAAACTAGATAACCTTCTTTATTTTTTTGATAATCAAATAAAATTTTTTCTCCTCTCCTTTTTCCTTTTTCCATTCCATTTCTCTTAATCCAAATATATTAAAAGTGTGTTTAGTTTGTTTTATTTTATTAATTTATAGTTATTTAAAAAAAAATAGTTAATTGAAGTGTTTGTTAACATCAGCTTACATGTTATTTTCAAACTAATATAAATTATTTTATTAATTATCATCTATAGTTATTAACTATTTTTTAATTAAAAAAAAAAAGAGAAAAATTATATTTTCCCAACAGATAAATCTATTTTCGAGCTGCGATTCAGTGGACCTAGTGGTCCACATCAGGCCCAGTGATGACACTTAGACCCAAAACAACAGGCCAGAGAAATGCGAATCTTAGGTACGGGCTTCGAAATCCATTTTACCCCCTTTGACCGTTTCTACATGTATTACTTGTACAACCCAACACTATCCACCCGTGGGATTAGGACCCATTAGGTTCAGATTGCCACCTCACCACCTCCAACCCCATGAAATCCTTTG